ATAACACTTCAAAAGGTCATGGAAAAGTCCATTGAAATTCATGGAAGCAATGAATACAAGCTCCCTCATATGAGGAAGGATGCATCAATTCCTGACTGTAATGTGTATAACGTCGAGTGCGATGCTTCTCGCTACGAGAGCGCATTAACTCATTTGCATGAACGTCTAGGCGAGGAAGCTCACATGGAAGCAATGGTGAATTCTCTCGACTAAGTAGTCACCACCACCACAAAAAAATACAATAAATTTTTTGTTGTCTATATATGCTGTCTATATATGCTGTTTTGGAGTTGCATACAAAAACAAAGATATTTCAATCTGATGCAGTATACTTTAATCAAATGGAAAAGATGGTGACAACCTTTTAGGATCAGAGTAGTAACTGTAAAGTGTGCCACGACGTTTACTCGATGAACGAACCATCAATTCCGCATAAGTTTATTTTATCCGGTAAACCGGTATGAAAAGGGCAAACCTTGACTCGATCGCACATTCGTTCAAGTGTGAGGGAACAACAAAGGAGTTACTCTGGAGTAGTACTTCCTCTGTTCCAAATTACTGCCGACATATAAGACAGACACGACACAAAACCGACAAAATTCGACCCCGTGATTGGATGACCGACAAATAATTGAATTCGGATTGGTCAGTATTTTTTGCGACAATCCGATTGGACGATGTGGTTGTCGCAGCAGCAACATATCACTAACATTTAATTGAAATACTGCCGAGCCGACATTGCACACGAAACGATGTTGATTAGCTTAAGTAACACGGCAAGTCGACCCAGTAGGAGTACTGTTGTTTTCGGAGGCAGTCAGCCGGCGCCTCGCCATGATGCACGGGGACCATTGGTGAGATCCCTTGTGTAGCCCATTCCACACAATAACGTTTGCGACTTTTAAAACGTACGAATGCGGCTAAGAGTAATGGTTTCGCTTTAGGTAGACCCTCGATTGAACATTACTGTAGCTACGCCAACACCACCTTACCTCCAGTAGTGATTCCAATTACCCCTCATTCAACAAACGACACTAACCACGTTCTCCAGCTCTGCATATCCACTTACTTTCGCAACGTGAACCACCGTACTTGTTAGCACACCGTGTTTACAAGCATCCCCACTGCTAGCATCTGCACAGTGGGGATGCTTATAACACTAACTGCGACCTCCCTTCAATGTGTGCCCCCTTCCACCACAACACTAAATAAACATATTTTCACAACTACAACTACTAAGATCACTTATATTGTTGCGAGTGACGTCACAGGTATCACAAAACACTCATCACATAATTGATTGAGACGATGAGAAGTAATTACGAGCTCACAAACTTATTCTATGGTGGCAAACTGTGCACCAGTGAGTTATCAATGTAAATCTAGCAGTGCACATGGACTCCAGCGGTAGGGTTCTTTACAGTGAATGGTCACGCTCGCTGCAATGTCCACGGAGTGTTTACTGTACTTCGGTGTCGTTGGCGAGCAAGGACCGAGGTAAGCATGCCTGATGAGTGGCTTGTGTTGCGCAAAGCAAAGTAACCAAGGTACATGTAATTCCTCCACGTAATATTGAACGTACTATAATACTCCGGAGTATGTAGTACGTGTACTGCCCCCCCGCCAGCAAGCAGGACTCTGTACGTCGATACATTCGAAAAAACAAGATACTTTACTTGGTCGTTGTATTGAATTGGAAGAGACATCCGCCAATGAAAGCCAAGAGGCTTCTTAACCAATCAGATAGTTGTCGGATATATTTGTCGCAGCAGCTACTATATACATATGCAAAATACGTTTGCTTCATATTAGTATAGACACTTTACTTGATGATGATTGGCTAATCTGAAAAGTACAATGCTATCATTGGCTGGAGTTGTTACAAAATCAAAATTTCACGGCCACAACATGATGACTTCGGCAGAAGGAACACGCGCCACTGGCGCTTCGAGTTCACAGTGAAGAACCCCGAGAAATGAAGCGCGGTTGGTGAGATTCATGCATAGAGTACACTGCGCGCTACTACTCTGGACCGCTAAAATGCCGACATTTGCATCCAAGTTTTGGACCAGAGAAATTCCGACACTTATTTGACTTGGCTTTTGTATTAAAAACGAAATGACAATTATACTTGACGATTGTATTCACTCGTAAGAATTTATTATTTTTCATTTTGTCACCGACGTTATGTACTGTCCTGGGAATTGAGGAGGTCATCCAAGTCAGCTTCATTGCCAAGCCGCACACTTAACATCGATAAAGCCATTGCAACTGTATCTTCGTCACAAGTTACATTCAAGTGAGTCAAATCAGTTTTTAGCTTATCTTTGCCCATGTGCGGTAGCTTGTACTCGTTGCTTCCGCCATTTTCTATCGACAGCTTCATAACGCTTTGAAGTGTGATAAATGTTTTTGCCAATGTATCATGTATCATGTGGCAGTTAGCAAAGAGCAGTTTCAACAGCACTAATCAGCTCATCGATATTCGATGGAGTTGACTGATCCTGAAGACTTTGAATAGAATTAAAGAATCCTAAATCTAAGACGTTGAAGTCGGGACTGTTCGGTGGTTGATTTCGAAGTCGAATAGTCCATCCATCGTTCACTACAAGCTGATCAATGGCTTTGTTCACGGACTTTGCGTGTGGGCCGGCGTTGTCTTGCTGAATGTACACCGTTGACGACTTCATGACCAGCGGCAACTTCATCTTGATTGCAGGAATTACTCGGGTGAGCAACATGTCTTGGTACACTTGGGCGGTCACGTTTTGGGGCTCGGTGAGCATCGTCCCCCGAGGTCGATTCTTGCTGTTGCGTTGTGCTGGCGCCTTGACAACAAAGGGCCACATCCCGATCTTCCCGTTGAACATGCGGCGGATGCTGACATCGTACCGGGGCCGCGCAACAGCACAGAGGAACATTAACTTCGTGATGAAGCGCTTCGACTTGGACTGACGGTGTGGCAACGTTTCGTCGTCGTACACGTAGAACTTGCCCTTGTTCTTTGTCAAAAAGAACCACTTCTCGTCAACGTGCACGACGTCGTGCAGGGTCGTCGAAAACGTGGTTCTTCTTGACAAAAGGACAAAGCAAACTTCATGCGTTCTTCCTTGTTGTCCTCAGTCAGCAATGGCCGCAGGTACGACGATTTGCATCGGAGACGGCGGTTGCGCTTCATGTGGCGCAGAATGGTTGATCGCGGAACTCCAGAGTGAAAGGCCAAAGCTCGGGTGGTTTGTCGTTTGTGAAACGGAACGGACTTGATCGCTGCCTCAATGGCTTCTGCAGACCACTTCATTTTCGCTCCACAGTTCCCTAATTCAAGTGCATCCTTTGAGAATGTATACCTTTAAAAGCTGAAGCCTATATCATTTTATACCTTTCATGCGGGATGTTGGAGGTGACGCGATCATCTTGGAGCCGCCCTCTGCGCATGATGCTTTCCACGAGTTCCAGACCGCGGACACCGTTGTGCGATGGCAGTTGAATTGGTCTGCCACGCCTTTGACGGATCCATACTTTCGCTTGCCGCCATTGCTGCTCGCTAGCAGCATGTTGATCATGGCTTGTCGCTCCACGTCGGTAAGGTTTTGAGCCTTTACGCGAGATTGCGTGGGTCCAATGGACTCGCAGCGTGACGAAGGCATAACAGGGGGGTTGTGGTTGTGTAGTAGTTGTTTCGGGCTGGTTAAAGAAGAAATGTAGCATGTACTACACATCATATTACTCTGGTCGTGGAAACTTCAAACTTTGGCGCCTCATATCTCCAGAACTAAAACACTCTGGAAAGCGCATTTATAGTCCAATCAAAGCCCTTCGTTTGCTCTCTTTGGAGAGCCTATCAAAATGTTTATAGTGCAAAATCTGACCTTATTCCGCCAATTGGAAGTAAATGTCGGGTTTATTGCGGACCAGAGTAGTACATGATTAGACCCACACATATTTTCGTTCTTCCTTTTTGACCAATAAACGATTGAGCTGTTCCAAACGTCGCAAATCGATGAATTTGATTGGTCGATGGCACTGGCATGTGATTTCCCGCCCATCGTGCACCAGTTTGAACAATCTGGCCGACCGGGTTCAAAACCTCGCGCCACTAGAATAGACCCATTCGGAAAATTTCGCTTTGGAGGTAAATTCAACCACACTCACGACCTCCTATCCTCACCAATACTATGTTGAACCTTCTAACAGCTCCACCTGTTTGCCACAATGGGCCTGGGATCTCTCTTGAGTGCCATGGAGCAGGGCATGTTGTTGGCTCTCCGACGGCACGGATTGAGCATCCGAGCCATAGCTGTCGAGATTTCTCGAGCAACAAAGGCCGTCCGCACCTTTCTGAAGGACCCGGAGCAGTATGTAACAAGGTTCAAAGGAAGAAAGGTGGTCCTTATCATCGGACGGGAGTACGTTTGCTTGTTCGAGAGGCATCCAAGACAGGCATGTTAGCTCGAAGCCTTAAGACAAGTCTAAATTTGAATGCCTCTCTTCGAACATGCCAACGGCGTCTCCTCCAAGCTCCCAACCTCAGCTATGTGAAGCGAAAACCCATGCCAGCCCTCACGAAACGCCACAAGAAGGCCCGTATCGAGCACGCCAAGAAGCATCTTGCTGCTCCTCCAGACTGGGGTCATATTATTTGGTCGGACATAAAGCGCTTCAACCTTGATGGTCCTGACGGCCTGCAACATTACTGGCACGACCTTCGAATGGAGCCATACACGTTTTCCACTTGTCGGAATGGTGGGGGTGGGGTCATGGTTTGGGGTGCTTTTTCTTCTGCTGATTTGTCTGAGTTGGCATTTCTTTCTGGCAACCAAAACTCATCTGCATATGTTGAAACGTTAAGCAATTACTTGTTTCCATTTGCCCATTGCCATTATGCTGATGAGTTTGTGTTTATGCAAGATGGAGCTTCAATTCATACTTCAAAATACACGAAATAATTTTTGTCGGATGAAAAGGTTACTCTATTTGACCACCCCTCACTATCTCCTGACTTGAATCCAATCGAGAACCTGTGGGGGCTCCTTGCGCACAATGTTTATCGAAATGGCCGTCAATTTCAATGTGTTGCGGACCTCAAGTCGGCCATCATCGAAGGCTGGTGTGGAATCAGCCAAGAACTCATAATGTCACTCATCCAGTCAATGCCACGACGTTGTGTGGCTGTGTTGGAAGCCAATGGTGGTAGAACAGGCTATTAAGTCAATGAAAATGATCAATTGTGCCGCTAATTTGCATTTTTTTACTCTGGGTCTATTCATCTGGCGCGGGCTTGTAGTCAGAATTATGAGGATCGGGTTTTCATCGAAGTTATAATGATGTGAAGCACTGGAGTCCAGCACAAGGCTTCTCTGTAGGGCTCAGAACCTCATTGGATTGTCATAGATCGCAGAGGTTCGTAGTTTACTTACCAAAACGTACGTGGGTCTATTCATGTGACGCGCAGTGTACCAATGCGTCACTTAACGGTACTTTTCCAGGGGCGGCAGCTTCAAGCGGTTGTATATAAGGAGCCATATTTTTAAATTTTCTCAGACAAAATATGTCGGAGTTGTCGGAGCGAGCCCAATATTGCAAGAAACCTGCACTATTGGCATAAAATATGGGTAAAGCTTGATTGGCTAAAAAGCTGAGCTACCAAAATAAAATTAATGTATTGGTCAAAATGGTGCATACAAACACGAAGTAGTGTCAGAGTAACCGTCATATTCATCCATATACGAAGTAGTATTTACTTCAAAGGAAGTCAACGTCAATAGAGAATTGAAGTAAACAGTCAGTAGAACATTGAAGTAAACAGTAAAAGGGGGTTGAACTCTACGTTTTCAATACTTAACTCAAGT